AAGAGCTGGACACAAATTACTTTTTATAGCAGCCCTTGGCTTTTCATTTAGCCAGGAGGGAAGTATGAGGTAGCACGGTTCCACACCCTTTTACCTGGATGACGTCCCTCTATGTCATTTAAACAGATGCTACTTAGAATAAGGAGGTGGGTTATTTACTCTCTGTTCTCATCACCCGAACTAAAGCAAGCAAGCAAACAAGCCAAGCAAAAGAGCAATCTTAGAAGTCATTTTTTAAAATGCCTAGACCTCTTCTGGCTTGTTCTTCCGTTGAATTCCAAGCATTATTTGTCTAGGTTCCCTTGCCTGAACTGTTGGCACAGAAGGTGCAATTTTATCCTTGAAGTAGGGTGTTCCTCAGGCACTGAGCCAATGCAGTTGGCTCATTCATTTCCTTCCCTACTAAGTTTCTTCAGGGCTTTCTACATGTCAGAAGCCTGTTACGCAATGATTCAGAAGAGGATACAGGAAATATTGTTCCTACTGTGACATTGGCTGTTCACCTCTCTCTAGCCCAAATTGGTTTACTTCACCAAGGAATCCACAGAGTTTTCTTCATTTCAATTCCTTTCTGATTTCACAGTTACCATAATGGAAATCTGAAGTAGAAAGGCCTTCGACCAGGTGCAGTGGGCTTACCCCTGAAATCTTAGCACTTTGGGAGGCCAAAGAGGGAGGATCGCTTGAGCTCAGGAGTGTGAGACCAACCTGGGCAACATAAGGAGACCCCTGTCACTACAAAAAATTTTTAAAAAATAGCTGGGCATGGTGGCACACACCTATGGTCCTAGATGATGAGAGGCTGAGGTGGGAGGATCATGTAGACCCAGGAAGTTGAGGCGACAGTGAGCTGACATCATGCCACTGCACTCTAGCCTGGGTGACAGAGTAAGACCCTGTCTAAAAAAAAAAAAAAAAAAGGAAAAGAAAGGCAGAAAAGAAAAGGCATGGTGGCTCACACCTATAATCCCAGCAGTTTGGGAGGTCGAGGTGGGCGGATCACTTGAGCCCAGGAGTTTGAGACCAGCCTAGGCAACATGGCAAAATTTCGTTACTACTAAAAAATAATAATAAAAAAAAAATTAGCTGGCCACGGTGGCACACACTTGTAGTCCCAGCCACTCAGGAGACTGAGGTGGGAGGATCACCTGAGCCCAGGAGGTCAAGGCCGCCGTGAGCCATGATTGCACCACTGCACTCCACCCTGGGCCACAGAGCAAGACCCTATCTCAAAAAAGAAATAATTTGAAGAAGAAAAAAAGTTAAAAACAAACAAACAAACAAAAAAGTATGTCCATATCTTCTTTGTGGGGAAAGTGATTAGGACTTTTGCAGCTTCTGATGGCAAGCCTGTCATGCAGAGCTGCTTGTCTGATTTCCACTACCCATGCTGTTGAACTTCTTTTGTGTGAGTAGCCCAGCTAAGCCGTGTCTTAAGGACAGGCACATTCATGTATTTCCCTGGTGGAGGTGTTGGTGTGCACCACTGCAACCTTTCTCACTCTCCTGGTTCTTCTCAAGAACCACAGCACACAGTTCCTGTCCTAAAATCTTACCATTTGAGGCACCTGGCCCAGGCTAGGGATGCCTACTCTGCATCTGTTTCCAGGAATCACACAGACGCCTTGATCTCAGAGCCCACCCAACTGTATGAACCATTTCCAGGAAGCCTAAAGATCCTGTTTCTTTGTGTCATAACGAGACACTGAGCCAGAACCGCCTGTCCTTACAGACATCTCCACACAGGCTGAGGGCTCTGATGGGAACAGTAATGGGGCAAAGGGGACCTGCACTGGAAATTTGTGTGCAGAATCGTGGCAGAGGATGGTCTCTGTGCACAAAGCCTACCAGAAACCAGAGAGAGGAGAAGGAGAGAGCTGCAGGTTCAGACTTCCCCCTTCAATCATGCGACTCCAAGATCCTCTTACCAGCTGGAGGGGTGCCCAGCCCAGGCTTCTCATTCAAGGACGCAGGGGATAAAATGACTGGGTTGGTCTTTAAGCAAATGATTCACTCACCTTTTTATAGTCGGGAGGACACAGGAAAGTTTTAGTCTTTCCATACATTTTGTATTTTATCCTTATACTCTATTGATTCAAATGAGAAAAATGAAAAAGAAAGCACAATATCTGGGAAAATTCTTTAATATTCTCCAGACTCAAATTTATTTTATGTCCATAAACCAAAATCATCTTATCTCAGAACTGCTTGAGCTTTATAATTAATGCATTTTTAAGGTTTCACATTGACTATACCTGTACCATGAGACTTCTTGTATCTTACAAAGACGATTGGATAGAGTTAATATCTTTTTCCCTCACTACCTCTTTTTTTCACTCTCCACTTTCCTTTTTTTTCCACAGATCTTTTCTTTTTTTCTAAAAAAAAAGAAGAAAGAAAGAAAGGAAAAAAAGAATTAAAAAAAAAAGAATGAAGGGGAGGAAGAAAGAGAAAGAGGAAGAGGGAGAGAAAACAGGGGTGTTGCTTTATTGCCCGGGGTAGAATGCAGTCTAAAAATGGGTATGCCTATAATTGTGCTTAATAATAGAGACATGAAAAAAAATGAGGGAAGAAAATAACTAACAAGCAGCCAACCAATATTTCATTTAAACCTGTAAACAGATGTGATGTGGTACTGATAAGAGTGTATATTTTGTGTATTTAAAGTGGAGAGTTCTATAAATGTTAATTAAGTTTATTTGTTCCGGATCTGAGTTCAAATCCTAGATATCATTGTTAACTTTCTGTCTCATCGATCTGTCTAATATTGATGTTGAAGTCTCCCACTATTATTGTGTGGGAGTCTAAGTCTCTTTATAAGTCTTATGTATCTGGGTATTCCTGTATTGGGTGCATATATATTTAGGATCTTTAGCTCTTCTTGTTGCATTGATCCTTTCATCATTATGTAATATCCTTCTTTGCTTCTTTTGATCTTTGTTGCTTTAAAGCAACTCCTGCTTTTTATTTATTTATTTATTTTTGCTCTCCATTTGGTTGGTAAATCTTTCGCCATCCCTTTGTTTTGAGTCTTTGTGTATCCTTGCATGTGAGATGGGTCTGGATGCAGCATACCGATGGGTTTTGGCTTTTTTTGCCTGTCTCTGTCTTTGGATTGGGGGATTTAGTCGATTTAAATTTAGAATTAATAATAATATATGTGAGTTTTTTCTATGTGTAGTGGTTCTTTCAGAAGCTCTTGTAAAGCAGGCCTGGTGGTGATGAAATCTCTGAGTGCTTGCTTGTTCACAAAAGATTTTATTTTTCCTTCTCTTATGAAGCTTAGTTTGGCTGGATGTAAAATTCTGGGTTGAAAGTTCTTTTCTTTAAGGATGTTGAATATTGGCCCCCACTCTCTTCTAGCTTGTAGGGTTTCTGCTGTGAGTCTGATAGGCTTCCCTTTATGGGTAACCTGACCTTTCTCTCTGGCTACCCTCAGTATTTTCTCCTTCATTTCAACCCTGATGAATCTGGCGATTATATGCCTTGAGGTTGGTTTTCTTGAGGAATATCTTTGTGGTGTTCTCTGTATTACCTGGAGTTGAATATTGTCCTGCCTTGCTAGGTTGGGAAAGTTTTCCTGAATAATATCCTGAAGCGTATTTTCCAGCTTGGATTGATTTTCTTCGTCACATTCAGGTACACCTATCAAGTGCAGATTAGGTCTTTTCACATAGTCCCATATTTCTTGGAGACTTTGCTCGTTCCTTTTTATCCTTTTTTCTCTAATCTTGTCTTTTTGTTTTATTTCATTAAGTTGGTCTTCAACTTCTGATATCTTTTCTTCTGCTTGATCGATTCGGCTGTTAAAACTTGTGCATAGTTCGCAAAGTTCTCGTGTTGTGTTTTTCAGCTCCATTAATTCACTTCTATTCCTCTCTAAATTGTGTATTCTTGTTAACATTTCATCAAACCTTTTTTCAAAGTTCTTAGTTTCTTTGCATTGGGTTAAAACAAGTTCTTTTAATTTCCAGAAGTTTCTTATCATCCACCTTTTGAAGCCTGCTTCTGTTAATGGAACACACTCGTTCTCCATCAGGTCTTGTTCCATTGCTGATGAGGAACTGTGATCCCCTGTAGAGGGAGAGGCGTTCTGATTTTGGGTATTCTCAGCCTTTTTAGGCTGTTTTCTTCCCTTCGTTATAAATTTATCCATCTGTGGTCTTTATAATTACCGTCTTTATAATTGGGTTTCTGAGTGGACGTCCAACTTGTTGCTTCCCAGCGCTAAAATCTGAGCAACCACTGCGCCAGCCAAAACAGCGGCATTATGATTGATGGTGCTTTTCTGACTCTGCACCAAGAACTGCCACACCAAGGCAGCGGCAAAACTGCCTCGCCGGCCACAAGAGTCACGTTGGCAACCCGTGGGGCTCCTCTGCTGGGAATCTTCTGGTGCGTGAGCAACAAAAATTCATCTGAAAGTGTGGCATCCTCTCGTTCTCTGCACTTTCACTGGGAGCTACAATCCCGAGCTGCTAGTGATCAGCCATCTTGGATCTCTCCTCACTCTCCACTTTCAACATAACCACTGCTAAATGATCTGACAATCGATTTCATATATATAAAAACATGGTGCCTAGTTCCATGTTTTTATGTATATGAAACTCTAGGGTTTAGGGGAAGAAATGTGTATGAAGGTATCCTGGCAAAGGCATGCTGTGTCACTTCCCTCTGGATGTTTTGTAAAACTGGTTGTGAGAAAATGCAAGAATGAGTAGACACTGCGACAGTGATGAAAACAGGTACTGATGAAGGAATCAACTCCCTGAAAGCCAGTTGTCTTCCAAGTACATCCTGAGTCACATTTCTCCTCCACATCTCCTGCTCTTCCTCCTTATGTAGCTTGCCTTCCTACCACATCCTAGAGATTTGTCTCTTTTCTCATCTAAGTTTCAGCCAGAGATAGGAGGAGTAAACTGAGATCCTCAGATACTTTTTCAACTGTCAAAGTTCCCAGAATGCATCTTTAACTTGGAATCAAACTTAAAGGGTTTAACCTGCCTTCCCTGTAAATTCTTTTGGGCCACCTCGGCAGCTTGTGAAATCTCTCCCTCAAAACATTGCCGGGTACCTTTGTCACATTCATTAGGTTTTCCTTTCTTTGTCCTTTGATGAATTTCAAAAAATGTACAAGGGTTCACTATACAAGGGGCAAACCATGTTTCCAAAAGACATCATAAAACCAAACCAAAAAAAAAAAAAGAAAATCTTGTACCTACAGAATTCTAAGGCATTTTTTTGTAATTTTTCTAGAGAAGAGATTTTTAAATGCTATATGCAGAACTCAATCTGTGGACATAATATTGCTTTATGATCTTTTATGAACCATAAGCTGGAATTGTTAAAATAAATTCAGGTGGACAGATGCCAAATGACAAAGCTGGGGTGGAAAGTAGTGGTAAAAAGGGATTTTTACTGCTCCATTTACACACAGAAAAACTCCACCCAATAATTCTGCAAAGCAAGCCTAAAATACATTGAATCCTCTGCTGATCTCTAAAATCTTGAGCTTCTTGGTTAAGGTGAGGAAAATATCCTGATTGAAGTCATTAAAATAAACACTGGTACAAGGCCCCAGAGAAATCTGGCAGTGGTACTGCTGAGAAATTTCCTGATTTGTTCCATTTTCCTGAGACTCAATGCTTGTGCTGACATTCTAAATCTACCTGCCAAAGAAGCTCCTGTATTCTGTTAATAGACAAATATTCTGGGGTGGAGGGGAAGAAGACGTGTAAGAAAGAATTCTGGCAAAGGCACACTGTGTCAGCATACATTTTACAGGACAAATTGACTGTTTTAGGCCATACTTTCCTAGCTGTTGAAAAATACCACTATAACAACAACTGTGCAATATTAAAAAATAAAAATAATGCTTCAGAAGTCCACCAGCTTGATCCCAAACTGTTCTGACTGGCTTGAATGATGACTAGGTACAGCCAGTGATATCTATTTGTAGATATCAATTTGCATGACTTGATTTGGCCGTACCTGGCCAATAAATGACTTTTAAGTCCTTTAGCCTAATATAAAATCATGAGTGTAGGTATATTGTTCAAGATTTTTGGTTGGAAACAACAGAATCCACTCTTGCTAGTTTGAAAATAAAACGGGCCAGCCACGGTGGCTCACGCCTGTAATTTCAGCACTTTGGGAGGCCGAGGCAGGCAGATCACCTGAGGTCAGGGGTCCGAGACCAGCCTGGTCAACATGGCAAAAACCCATCTCTACAAAAATACAGAAATTAGCCAGGTATGATAGCGGGTGCCTGTAATCCCAGCTACTTGGGAGACTGAGGTGGGAGGATTGCTTGAATCCAGGAGGCGGAGGTTGTAGTGAGCCAAGATCGCGCCACTGTACTCCAGCCTGGGCAACAAAGCAAGACTCTGTCTCAAAAAAAAAAAAAAAAAATTAACTGGGTGTGGTGGCTCATGCCTGTAGTCCCAGTTACTTGGTAGGCTAAGGTATGAGAATCACTTGAACCTGGGAGGCAGAGGTTGCAGTGAGCTGCGACTGCACCACTGCACTCCAACCTGGGTGACAGAGTGGGACTCCATCTTGAAAAATTAATTAATTAATTTAAAAAAGTATTAAAAGGTATTAGATATCACATAGATTGTCTGAAAGGGCCAGAGAATCATGTTCTGAGCTACTTGGCAGGAAGTTATATCCAAATTACACTGCTGGACTGTTACAGAAGGGAGTGCCACTGGCGTTGGCACAGCGCCTGCACTGACCCTCTGCTGGGGATACCAACACTGGGGCTGGGCCATTTCTGTGCCACTGGCAAGCCCCATAGCTTCACTACAAAACAGATTCTGCATGACACCTGCTTTCTCATGGTTTTTTTTTTTCTGCATTCAGTCTTGCATGGCTACATTTGATTACAGAAACTAGGTCACATCCTTGCACCTTGGCCACAGATAAGACTAGAATAGAGAGTTCTAGTTTTACCTTGAAAAACAGAACTCAAAATGTAGAAATTCCCTTGATATGGGAAGGGCTTTTAAGAGATGATAAGAAGCCACAAACATAAAAAAGTGCCTACTAGGACAGGCATAAAATGATCAGGCTGGCAAACCCTTGCAAAGCAGCATGAGGCCAGTGTTTACAAGGAGACTTCTGTTCATGATTGGAACAGAAAACAACCATAAAAGGATTTTTCTGTAACAAAAGAAAGTCTTGCAGGAAGCACTCAATCTATGATTTTTTTTTTTTTTCCCACCAAATGCAAGGAGAGATTCAAGGTCTCTCCCTCTCACCTTAGCTTTGGCAGGTTTTCCCAGAAAATTTACAGACGTTATTAGCATACTGGAAGACAGTCACATCTCCACCTTGACACAGATTTGGAAAAGAGTAGGCAGGAAAAAAAAATTAAAGCAATTTAAATATAGTTCTTAAAATCTTTGTGGTGCCAAGCAAAAGATCTCCATACCAGATTAACCACAGATGGAGGGACTGTGGTCCCTCTATCATCAGTAGGTCCCATCAGTTGGGAGTGCTATGGACCAGCACAAAAGTAGATCAGCACAAGGCACAGAATCAGACCAATATAGGAAGAAATTCTGGGACTGAACTAGGACAGTGACATTACCTTAGCCAAAATTATCTAAGGCAGAAATGTTCAATCGATTTTACCTTACATACCAAGATCTGTGAGTTGGTTGTGGCTACCTCAATTACCTTGTTAAAGACTACCAAGAAAAATGTCCTTCTGTAAACCCATTTTCACATGGTTGATACTTACAATTTTGTATTCTACCTTTTTCCTCATTCATTGAATCAAAAACGTCTTTCCATGTTGTTTAATCTTGTTAGTTATCCCTTTTAACACTTGCATAGTATTCCACCAGCTGATGGACTCTAATTTACTCAACCATTTCTCCATCATTTCATTCTAGGATTAGTTCTAATAATTTGAGAAAGACAAGTGGAATTTTTTAAATGAGTTCTTTCTTTTATTCTATAGAGATTAGCACAGAAATAGTACCTGAGCTCTTCACAGACACCTTGGGCCTGTAGAGATTCTGCAAGTACTTTTAAAGGAAAAGTGGCTTTATAAGAAATCAGGCTCCACATTTTCTTGGAAATTTTAAGCAAAAAGACTTTAGGAAGTCCTGACATATGTTCCCAAGGTGGCAGCTACATTCTACAATAAGATCTCTCTTCCTGAACTGAATATCTCTAAGATATCCTTGGGGAAAGACCTCAAATGGGGCTGGCTCCCATCTGAAGCTCTGAAAACCACTCACCTTGAAAGCTCAGTCTCCGGAGTCTGGATAATTAGTGGCGAGAATGCAGAAAGCTGCTCAGCCTGTTGCGGGTCTTGAGATAAACCTCAATTTCCATAATCGTCATAAAGAGCAGAACAGTCTTTCCGCCCTAAAATATATTCAATATGAATTGTGAAGTGTCTTAGGAAGAATTTGCATGCAAGGAACAGAATTCCACTTAGCTCAAATAAAAAGAGGGTTGACTGAAAGGCAGAGGTTATTATGGGGTCACAATAAGCCAGTGCTGGAGATACAGCTGCTGGGCATTATAGGACCAAGAAGGGGATTATGCAGATTTTATTTCTCTCTCTCTCTCTCCTGTGCCTTTCAAGGTACATGGCCTCTCTACTTGACTCTGGGCATCTATCTGCCCCATCTTTGTGCTCTTTTGCTCGTAGACTGGCTTTTTCTGCTGACTCATGGTTTCTCAGCTTCCCTTCACTGTGGCTAGCATGAGGTTTCAGCCTGCTGTGGCAGGCCAATGGGCATGACCTTGCAGCTTGGCTCCACACAGCTAAATGACTCAGCCTCTTTGTCCCTATTCCAAATTCCTGGGAGAAAATTCAAGCAACCCCGCTTGAGTCAGATGTCTACTCCTAGGTCAGTAACCGAAACTGGTGGGGCACAGTCATATGGCAGGTAGTACTCTCCGTTTTAAGTTAGGAGTAGGGCTGAGTCTCCAAGGCAGCATATGGATAGGGAGGAGGGAATGTTTGACATCTCTGAAGCAGATGTGGGGCTGAGAGAGGCATGCATGGTTGTGATTAAAAAAAAAAAAAAAAAAAACGAAGAAGAAAAAGAAAAAGAAAAAAGCATGGGGTTTGGAGAGAAAAAAAATCTGCCATTTCTTAGTCATAAAACGATAGACAACTTTCCTAGTTTTCCAAAGACTCGTGTCCTTAATATATAACCTGAACAAAATGACCTGCCAGCTCTCAAGATCTATTACTGCTACTTTCATTTTAGGAATCTCATAATGTAAGGAATGACCAACTCTAACATCAACAATATGGCAGGTCTTTATGAACAAACATTGAAAAAATTGTCTTTGTAATAAGTCCAGTGGTGTAATATTACCAACATTACCATTCCTGTAAACATTTTTGGAAGGCTGCTAACAAGTGCTAACAATGTTGAAGTCCCCCACTAGGCATTCAGCAAATGTTTCTTGCTTAGAGGGGAATTCTGAAGGAGGAGGAAAACAGACCTTGCTCTGAGGTTTGCCTGTCAAGGTGTTAGAGGCTTGAAAAAGTAATGTGTTGAATAGATGCCTCCATTTCAACAGAAGATTCACTCAGTTCTAATGCTGATGGTGAGCAATGCTCTAAAATGCATTATTGGTAAACCGCCCACTGTGAATAAAGAAAAAAGACTATGTTAATTGAAATTTATTTCTATGTATTCCAAATTAATACCGCTATCCTGCAGTGTATGAAACTGAGGCATTCCTGTAAAGTTGCCTGCAAAGCAAGGTTAATTTTTCCCCATTGAAATCCACTGTGGCATTGAACACTTAGTATGTTCCTATGAAGAAAGGAAGCACCTAAAGGGAAACACTTAGAAAAATAAAAATTATCCTGGTGAGGATCTTAATTTCTCAACCTACTCAAGTTCCTTTAAAAATCTGAGTACACGCCGGGCGCGGTGGCTCAAGCCTGTAATCCCAGCACTTTGGGAGGCCGAGGTGGGTGGATCACGAGGTCAAGAGATCGAGACCATCCTGGTCAACACGGTGAAACCCCGTCTCTACTAAAAATACAAAAACATTAGCTGGGCATGGTGGCGCGTGCCTGTAATCCCAGCTACTGAGGAGGTTGAGGCAGGAGAATTGCCCGAACCCAGGAGGCGGAGGTTGCGGTGAGCCGAGATTGCGCCATTGCACTCCAGCCTGGGTAACAAGAGTGAAACTCCGTCTCAACAACAACAACAAAAAAAAAAAAAAAAAAAAAAAATCCGAGTACCCAGCTGGATGTGGTGGCTCACACCTGTAATCCCAGCACTTTGGGAGGCCAAGGTGGGAGGATCATAATGTGAGGAGTTCAAGACCAGCCTAGCCAACATGGTGAAATCCAGTCTCTACTAAAAATACAAAAATTGGCTGGGTGTAGTGGCACACACCTGTAGTGCCAGCTACCCAGGAAGCTGAGGCAGGAGAATCACTTGAACCCGGGAAGTGAGGATTGCAGGGAGCCGAGACGGCGCCACAGCACTCCAGTCCGGGCAACAGAGTGAGACTCTGTCTCAAAATAAATAAATAAATCCGAGCACCCACACAAACATATGTTTGATAGCAAGTATATATGTCTCTGGAATTACCCCAGTCCACCTCCAAGTTCCCAGTTGGGCCTCTAGGTCTTCCTATACCCAAGCCCTCACTCGGTTGCATATCTCATCTCTCATCATTTCCCTCCTCTTCTTTTCATATATAAATGTAAAAATCATACTTCTGGCCTTGAGCTGAAGAGTTAAATTCGATTTAATTGAGTACATTAATTCATTTATAGCAGAAGAGAAAGACCTGAGGTTGTAGGTAATCCAACTTCTTCAAATAGGATGGTCCTTAGGCCACGCATAGTGGATCATGCCTGTAATCTCAGCATGTCGGGAGGCTGAGGCAGGAGGATCACTTCAGGCCAAGAGTTAGACCAGCCTGAGCAATAGAGTGAGACACTCCCCCACCTCTTCAAAAAAGTTTTAAAAATTAGCTGGGCAGGGTGGCATGAATCCTAGTTCCAGCCACTTGAAAGGCTGAAGCAGCATTTCTTCAGCCCAGGAATTTAAGGTTGCAGTGAGCTATGATCATGCCCTCTAGCATGGGTAATAGAGCAAGAAAAAAAATGTATAGCCCTATGTACTCTGTGGTGCTAGGAGAAGCTGACTTTTTTCTTGTCCATCCTAGAGAGCTCCTCCTAACAGCCCCAGGCCCTGGGCAGGGCAGACTTTATTGCCACATGCTAGGCCTGATTGTTACTGGGAAAATATTGGAATTTTTGTTTTCCTTCTTTAATTTTAAAATAGTAGATATTTTCCTTTGACATATAAAATCTGTACTCCTTTTTCCCCCCAGATGGAATATCTTACTGCTTTTTCTTCTGATTATAAAAGCAATTCATGGCCGGGCGTGGTGGCTCACGCCTGTAATCCAAGCACTTTGGAGGCCAAGGCGGGCAGATCACCTGAGGTCAGGAGTTCCAGACCAGCCTGACCAACATGGTGAAACTCCATCTCTACTAAATACAAAAAATTAGCCAGGTGTGGTGGTGCACGCCTGTAATCCCAGCTACTTGGGAGACTGAGGCAGGAGAATTGCTTGAACCCAGGAGGCGGAAGTTGCAGTGAGCTGAGATTGCGCCGTTGCCCTCCAGCCTGTGCAACAAGAGCAAAACTCCATCTAAAAAAAAAATTCAACAATATGAAAAGGGATCAAGCGGAAAGTGAAAACTTCCCATAATTCCATTCCGAGAGGCCACAATTATTAGTTGTATATGTTTTTTCCATATCAGGTGGGTAATATGCTGATGCTGTAACAATTCGAGGATGGCACATCTCACAGATGTGCATGATTACCCAATCGTCATGTTCGTGAACCACAAAAGGATCTATATGTATTCTTTCAGATGCATATTAAACACACACACATGCAAATATATATAGATGTATGTGTATACATATATGTATGTACTCCAAATATACTCTTTATATTACGTAATATATACTCTATATGTTTAACAAAAATGGGTCATATTATCCACTCTTTTCTGTGCCTTGCTTTTTTTTTTCTTTTTGAGACAGAGTCTAGCTCTGTCGCCAGGTGCCAGGCTGGAGTGCAGTGGCGCGATCTAACCTGGGAGGTTCAAGCAATTCTCCTGCCTCAGCCTCCCGAGAAGCTGGGACTACAGACACACGCCACTATGCCCAGCTAATTTTTGTATTTTTAGTAGAGACAGGGTTTCACCATGTTACGCAGGCTGATCTCAACTCCTGACCTCAAGTGATCCACTTGCCTCTATCTCCCAAAGTGCTGGGATTACAGGCATGAGTTACTGTGCCTGGCTTTGTTTTTTTTCTCTACAACTTGTCATATACATCTTGCATACTGATCAATCTCATTCTTCATGTATATATACATATATATATATATACACACACAAACATACATATATATGTGTATATATATATATGTTTTTGAGACAGAGTTTTGCTCTTGTTGCCCAGGCTGGAGTATAATGGCACAATCTCAGCTCGCCGAAACGTCCATCTCCTGGGTTCAAGTGATTCTCCTGCCTCAGCCTCCCCAGTAGCTGGGATTACAGGCATGTGCCACCACACCAGCTAATTTTGTATTTTTAGTAGAGACAGGGTTTCTCCATGTTGGTCAGGCCAGTCTCCAACTGCCAACCTCAAGTGATCCACCTCCCTTGGCCTCCCAAAGTGCTGGGATTACAGGTATAAGTCACCGCACCCAGCCTTCATTCTTGATAATTTTTATAATAGTCTCTCAGTATTCTTTTGTACTATAATCTCTACCCTCCACTGAAGGGCATGTATAATGTTCTAAGTTTTTCTTAAATACTAAAATACTGCAATAAACATATATGTACATATATGCCAGTGCATGTTCTGATTATTTCCTTAGGATAAATTCACGTATATAAAATAACTGGTTTAAAGCTTATGCATATTTAAAATACTAAAACATAATGCCCAATAGTACACCAAAAGTCATATCACCTTCCTCTCTTAGCAAGTTTCCTTCAATTACCTTTATTTTTCATTGTTGCCAATCTGAGAGTTCAAAAAAAGTTAGTACCTCACATTATTGTGCTAATTTGCATGTCTTTGAATATTAGTGAAGATGAGTAACTTTTCAAGTGTTTGTCAGCCATTTGGTTTTCTTCTTCTACAAATTGTTTGAAATTATGTGTCTTTACTACTCAATCTGTTTAATCCCCCCATCCCATATATATGCACATTTGATCGAGAGTATCAGGGCAGGTATGTGACAGGAGCTGGGCCATTAAATTTGCTCTCCTAGGAATCTGGGTTGGAGAGTAGGGCACCTCTAGTTTGCTGCATTTAAGCCAGGAAATCATGCAGTGCTGTCTGGGCCAACCATTTTTTATCATGTGCACGATAAAGAAGAGAAAGTAGGTCTGCAGAATGAAAAGAAACAGGGATACCTTGGAAGCAGAAGAGATAAGGGCTTGTGGCCTTGATCATGTCTTTTCTCCTGGCCTGTGAGAAGGTTCTATAACCTTAAGCTAGTTTGATTGGATTTCTGCTCAGATAAGCAGTATCACAATTTCTCTCCATAGGAATATTAGGTTGAGGAGGGAGGAGATGGTTTTGAAAGAATATTCTGATCTTTATTTTCCTCTCTCCTCGTTCCTAAGAAGCCCAAATAAACCCCAAGAAATCTATGATTCCCAAACTTTGAGGGAAGCGGAAGCAAAAAATTGCACAATGGATCAAACACATCTTCACTGTACTAGTCCTTCAACTTGTTCTTCTAGGATTCCCCCATCTGATCAGTTGCCACTCAGTTCTCTGTCAGCCAGATGTCAGTACTACAGTGTTACCACAGTAATGGCTCTGTTTATTGACCACTCACTATGTACATGCTAAGCGCTTTGCGTACATTAATTATTTAACCAAAGTGCATATATTATTGCTCAATTTGACAAAAGAGGAAATGATGGCTTAGTTTATTAAGTTGCTCAAAAACACTCAGTTAGAAAGCAGAGGAGCAGGTTTTCAGTTTCTGCTGTCTGATTCTGCTATACTTCTTGTTCCAGGCAAGA